TATTTGTTGTCCTTATCGCTAATCTACTTTGACGGGTTATTTGCAGTTTGGACTACACCGTGTTGACTTTGCTGCGTCAAAGTAACTGGCGGGGGTATCTTTGCTAGGCCACGTCGAACCAGCGAGGGAGCCTAAAATACACGACATCGATGACTAATTTGCATTCACGACAAAAATTGCCGGGTGTCGTATTAGATCCCAGGCGAATCCAATTACATTTGGGAGTCACGGCGTAGATTACAGTTTTTGCATTAATTTAAAAAAAGTCATATACAGAGTCAAACATTTTATTATCCGAGATAGGAATGTTGCAGTCGCTGAAAATCACTCACACCAAATTGCTGACCAATCAACTCATTGCTTTGAAATGATTGGTTGAAGTCTAGGAGGTTATAGTAATGATGACAGGATGTGCTTAATCCCCGGGTGCCCACAATCAAAGATGCTTTTTTTGTTGGAAGTCAGAAAAAAAACACATGAATCATCCGTCATGCGCAAATATCAGTCTCTCCACCTACTCCCGGGCAGTCTGATTTAGTCAGTCGTCGAATCGGCACACATCCCTCTGTCAAGCCTAGCCCACACTTGGTTAATTGGATTAATCACTTTTGCATAGTCCGAATCCTTTCACGTTTTTCCGCGACCCAATGACAGCAGGTCGATGCTATCGTGTTGTCTTGTTTAATTAACCCCCAGCAACGTGACTGTCTAATGAGCAAGGAGCGTAATAATTAGAAGGACATGCAAGGAAAGTTCTGGAAGAAAGCGTCCTAGGTAGGCAAGGTGGCATTTTTGGACAATCATAAGATACAAACCCACTTTTTAAAATGCGTGATTTTACAAATTTGTACATTTTCGCCGCCTTGACGACACACACCTTGGTAAAACTGCATTAACTATTTAATGTCTAGATCGGTGATTAAATTTTGTCTCCTAAAATAGAATTCTATCTGAATTAGTCGATGAAGGGGTTTCTATGTCAACGGATTTGTTTAAATTATTAGGCTCAGTTCAGGAGTTGCGCATATTGTTTCCGGAGTTAGTTACTAGGTGAGCATTATAACACGACATGCAGTTTTCACCAGCGACTCAGATATTTTCGCCATAAAAATAACGTATTTGATTACTACTTTGGTTACGAGTGCTTAATAGGTCGCTCCTATTGGCTTACCACGGTGTTTTAAATTCGCGTACCAGTATACACCACTCTAGTAAAACAATACTGGGGCATTAAAAACACACGGCACCAAAGTTACCTTGGTTTTGCCATAGCAACCAGACTAGTAAAGAAAGAAGCCGATTGTCAGGTAAATTAATGAAAATGACACATCAAACGTGATCACATGGTCACAATTAGGTGTCAGGTGTCTACCTGAGTTCTCCATTTTTACATCTTCCATTCAAATTTCAATATTTTTTTCTATCAGTGATTAGCAGTTAATTTTTATTGGCCGGTATTAAAAACTTGCCTTTCGTCTCACAGCTGACTTAGTTTCTGCCCCTGTGCGACTTTGAACAGTGCGGCGAATGGGACAGTGTAATAAAACACTCCCCAGCTTCACCGAATCAGCATGAGTATGCCGCGAGCTTCCTTTGTATTCATTTCGGTCTGAAGCTGCGAGTTCTTTCTCGTAAAGTGGTTGCATAAACATTTCATCCTCACGTGTTTTACGCACCAACATCTCTGATCTCTCTAGCCTTTTTTCCTTCTAATCGCAAAGCTGACTCAGCACAGGGATGAAAGCGCAGCGTAGTTCCTTGATCATTGCTAATTTTTGCCTAGCTTGAATTCACTATGCCCTCGATTTAAAAGTAACCAATAGGCAGGTGCTGGTGGTTTGAAAATCGACTTACACCAAGATCCTATTGGCTGAGACAAAACTTAAACTGTATCAATGAGTTGTACTCATTCTGCGTTGACTACCATTGGATGTGCGTTTCTAAAGGTTTTCGGGAACACAGACTCTGTTCAAAATCGTTCTTCCCTTTTGTACCAACAACAGGGCAATATCCATTAGTGTTTACGAGCCTAAAGGATTGTTAAAGTAAATTGACATGTTAACTTACCTACAAAAGCTTAGGTCGCTAACCTGAATTTTGGAAAATTAGCACGTGAATAGATGTTGCGATGCTGAAAAGGCTTAGTCACTACACTTCTGCTTACACTTCCATTTCTGATGAACACGTCGCTTCACTTGGACAGGCCAATTTAACTTCTGCGACGCGTGCATTTAATTACGGTCAAAATAGGTGGTTTATTGACATCCCGAATCCACATTGTTATGTCAAACGTTTTTTGTGTTCATTTTGAAAATTGATTTGAAAACGTTGTTTAAATTTGAAGTTTGTTTTAACAACGGTTCGCGATCACTTATTGAGTGCTCCTTTTTCTTGCGTTTGAGAGCAGTAAAGAACAGCAGATAAGTGAAATTTTGAATAATTGCCGGTTGCATTGATGGCACAGATGATTTTCGCCAGAACCATTAATTACACCAATTTATTCGACATTTTACCATTTATCACAATGAGAGCAAGACGGAGTTCCCAAAAATTACTTAGACTGGAATCATTTATCATGAGTTGAGCATCAAATCGTTCGCATTTGACAACAATTGAACACGCAGTTGTTGACTAGTCCGGTTTCAAGTGAAATCTTTCACCGCTGTTCAATGTTAATGCGAAATTGTCCTTCACCCGCCAAAGTGACTTCGGATTCCATCAGACGGCTGATAGTCGAATCTCAATCGAGCGTTTAATCCCAATGCTGACTTCTCAGAGTTTTTGCTTGTTTGCGCAAATCCCCGGCTATGCACGCCCAACAACACAATCCCTCGTGGGATTAATCAACGTGATGGACGACCTGCTTACTAACCACCGAGTCCTACTTAGCAGCAAATCAATTTACTGGCCAGGTGTAGTCGCTGGAATGCTAGTCTTGCGGTGAAACCTTATCGGTCACATCACAACCGAGTCTGATCCCCTAAAATCGATATGTTCAGCAGATGACAGAGGGACTGCTGGTCACGGAATCTACTGTCTGAGAATTGCTCTTGAAGCAAGGTCAGTAATTACTTGGCGATTACTAGAGTTCCCAGTTAAAGTGCTAACTGAGGGAGCTGTGTTTGAGGAATAATTGCTCCGGTAAAAATGATAGAGGAAGCATCAAATTTCCTGAAACTAGGATCTGGAAGGCTGTCTAATTCCACAAAAAACCTAGGTGGCAACACCAAGTGCCTAATTTGGATCTCGGCAAAGTTTTGTGTGTGCGCGCTTGCGTCTGATTAATCCGGAGCATTTTTTTTTAAATCTCGGAATCTATGTGAAAGTATGCAAATGTGATTGAGAAAAGTAGCCACCAAGTAGGCGGTCTCGGCATTTAATTAACAAATTAATTTCTCTCTACACACACAGACAAACACACCGTGTAAAAGGCTGACGGCACTTTGTCCACGTACTTTCGTGGGTGTAGCAATCTCCTCTGACTAATCACCACATAAACTATGATGTTTGCTTTAAAGAGTCGTGTTTACGAGAGCAGGAAAGAGCCAGAATCAACGACGCGAGGCGGGGTAAATGAGTTGATCAAACAGTTATTAGAGTACAACTTACTGTCATTTGTGGAAGCTTCTTCGGTACGTTTTCGAGATTGGGTAGAAAATTCATTACGCCGCAGTCGCTGCCGTGCTTCACTGGTTTCAATGTCGACATCAGTGGAAACGGGGTGTTTAAAAAAAGCTATATCTCGTCGATCTAGAGTCAGTAGTGGTTCGGTTTGTGAGTTGGCGTCGGCGCACCTTTGATTGTCTCTTATCAGATATTTCACCTTAGCACGAATCATGCCCACGCTATATCACACAAAGATCACTCATTTTTATGTGTGCAATTTGTGATAAGTTTGTCGTCTGGGGTGGGCACGATGATAAGAGGTGGCAGCGGAAGCGATTCTAAGCATTTTTGACAAAAAATTACCAACTTGAGATGCAAAATTCTTTCAATTGTAACCCCACTTCTTACGCTGGAGTTAGTTTTGTGTGTTAGTTGAAGTTTTGGGCATCGTAAAATGTCGAAAAATCATTTTTCACAGATTGTTTTTCTTCAAAGATGTACTAGTTTCTTTAAATCCAACCAAAAAGAATTCATTTTGTGCGCGCATTTAAATTTTCGAATTCGGTGCTGTTTTCTTCTTTAAATGACCAGTTTCATCAATAAATTGCTGCGCAATTTAATTTCTAATTCCTTGAAGTTTCAAAAATTTAGGCCTAGAGCTGGAGTGTGAAGGAAAAAATTACTGTCCTTTTCCCAAAACTCCGTTTTTTTTATAATTGCGATCGAACTAATTAGCATTCTGAGAGTCACGTTTTGATAAAATCACTCGAGGACACACATCGGGAAACGAATTTCCCCTTTTTTTAAAACCCGAAATCGTCCTGATTTTTCAGTGTTTAATTTAACTGACTGATAATTTTATCGTAGGGTAAAGTGGTGCAGCTGTCCTTGTATGTTTTTGCATAAAATCAACTGACCATATGTATAAATTTTGTGCAGGCTGCATTGGCTGCGTGCCGTTAAACACTTCACGGCATATTTAACGTCTTGTCTACTATTTGTAGCTGACCATTCATGGCTAATTGCCGAAATCTTGAATGTTATCGGCATAGTAAATCAGATTCTAGTCGTTATTTGTCACATGTCAGTATTAGCTAGCGTAATATGCTTTCGCAGAAGACAAATGGTCTAATAATCGTCTTGCTAGTGACGTGAGTGTCTACTAATTTACTTCGCCAGCTGTTCAACAAAAGTCTTTTTCGTGCAGTCTAGCAGATGTCTCCTAGCCATGAACAATTAAGATATGACAGACATTTAGTAAATTGATCGCGCACAATTTTCATGTGAGAATATGTGCGTTACTTGTCTGTTGGAAGATTGATAGCGATCAGCACCAAGTTTGGCAGGCTGCTGACGTTTCTTGCGTATTTTAGGCCTAACACCAAAGACGCAAAATGGACTGGAATTACGTTTTTCTGAACTCCATCTTCTATCTCATTAACTCGCTGACCTTCGTCCGAACGAGGGAAATTTCGGCGGAGGAGGTGTGTCGAATATGCGACGGTTGCATCTACGAGTCGATATCCTGCCAGGAGGCTGGACGGCTGTACATGCTGCCGAACGACCTTCCAAGTGGAATTCGGAAGGTCATAATTGTGGGGCAGCGTTTCGAAAGCCGATTTCTCTCTCGGCGCAACATATCTTCGTACTCCCTTCCTGGAATGGCAATTCAGGAACTAACAATCATGGATTGTGGCCTTCGAGCGATCGAGTCGCAGACGTTTTATGGATTAAGCAGCCTAACCAAACTCGACCTCTCCAAGAACTCCCTTTCGCGAATCCAAGCCCACACATTCTCCAGTCTGCGATTAGACCTTCTACGTCTGGATGATAACCAAGGCTTGCTTCTGGAAGCAGATGCCTTCGAAAATCTCACCGTTACCTCGCTTTCTATGCAAAACTGTGGTCTGCAAAGTCTTTCTTTTGAGGTGTTCAAACCACTTTTGCTGAGTGGAACCCTTACTACCCTGCGTCTCACCTCCAATCTCCTCACCACTATCAATGCTCAATTTGAGCCGTTCTTCCGCAATCTGTCATTCCTCACACTTTCCAGGAACCCTTTCACCTGTGACTGCAAGCTAATGTGGCTCAGTCGAACTCTCCAACGAAAAAGGCGGTCGGACAGTGAGGATGCCTTTTCGCATCTTCCTCTCGCAATGGCAAACGATGATCGTCTTCTAACAGTGCCTGATGGCGACCATCCGGTGTGCGAGCATCCGAATCGTCTGCGCGGGAAGCAGATAGTGTCGCTGACACCAGCGGACTTCTTCTGTGGACCACCCCAGGTGCAGGCCTTGGAGGTGGACTTTGGTGACATTCAAGGCCAAGGTTTGAATGGGACTGCAGTGGTGCAGATCAAATGCGCAGCTCGTGGCTCTCCTGAGATGCAACTGGGATGGTATCGACGAAGTCGTCGAAGCACCGAACTGATCCAGCTACCGAGTTCTCGGGAGGTCTCCCCAGGCGTCGTGGAAGCCTCACTTACACGCTTCCTCCACGCAAACTCCTCCGGTGGAAGTGTCGACGAGGAGGGTGAGCTTCTCACTTGCCTCGGGGTTGACACGAATGGGAACACGAGCGCTGATCTCTCCATCCGTTGGCCTCCACCTCTTGCGCCTCCAGATTCCACCAATAAGAATCTCGTGGAAACCGAGACCGATGAGGCTGGAGGTCATGGTGTTAGCCAAACACACTATCAGTCAGTGAAACCGGATCGAATTGACGATTTCTTTTTCGTGGTGAGTAGCCCTACTTTTGTTGATGCTTATCTTATACCTGCACACTGTTAAAGGCAATACTTAGAGTGGAATAACAACAAAGATGAATTTATCTGAAGGAAGCAGACATTCTGGAATCGTAATATTATCATCGGTGTCTTAGTCTGTAAACGTTAGCAAAATAATAGCAACGTCTCTCACGCATTCAACCAGTTAGCTGACCCCACCTTACTAAAATTTATTGGCCAGACTTTCGTGGGATTTAAGATGCCAGCGGAACAGTCGGCAATCTGCTGAAATGAGTTTGTAGAGTTTGGAGGACATAATCCAGCTCCACCATAACCGTTTTTGACATAATTTTCCAGCGTTGTCTGGTCGCACGAGGATGTATTTGTAAATTCATTCATAGGCCCTCATTCTTGTCACCAATTTCATCACTATTAAAGTCCATGACGGCTTCTTTGACGTCCAATTCATGGAAGACGGACTCCTGTTAACTCATCAATGATCCATTGTTGAACTACGTGCACAGATTGAACGCCATTACATCTTTTTGGCAAAACTAATCTTTACGCAGTAGGGCAAACAGTATTACAGAATAGCCTTGTTGTCGAAACAGGTCGCAGACTGGACACAGTGGCAGGAGCACTCAGAATGGACGTAAGGAGATCTTCAACTGTTGGCTTAGCAACTATGCACGTCCTGGCGCTGCCAGTGGGATTTCTCGTTTGTTTAGAGATGACTACTTTGTGAAATTTAAGATACACAAGCGACCTTTGTGCGTAGTACAAAACGAAAGTCGTTATTGTTGGAAATCTTGAACCTTTGGCCAAAAGAATTCCCAATGCTGGCAAAATTTTTCGGTTAGGTGTTCTATAGGTGTTTAAAAAGGTCTGCAAGCCGTTAAACTCACAAAATGCATAAATTTTTGTTTAAATAATCAGGAAATGTTGAAACCAGAGTAAATGCTGACTTGATTTATCAGGAATCGCAAATTCACTCACCAGTTGTCATTAAAATGCAACGAAGTAGAACCAATTTTGTGCATTTGCCAGAAATTAACCTCACAGTCACAAGTGCAAGGTAACTACTTACCTGAATCCAACCCCACGGTAATTCCTTTTCATTCTGCAAAATCGCGCACTAAATGATACAAAAACGGTTGATTCTACCTTCAGTTTGTGAATGCCGTTTCAGGAAAATCACGATTAATTATGTTGAAATAAACTAATCATGTGAAAAATTGGCAGTAAGTTTCCTACAATCACAGATAAAATGAACTTTTGCCTGGAAATTCAAATGGAAATGCCGAGTATTACAGCTTTTTAGTCCCGCAACACAGCAATTTGATATTTTAAAGTAAGCATTACATTAGCCAGCTCACGCAACGCGTATCTTGTAATTTTAATGAAACAGTTTCAGTGCAAAAACCTGTGTTCTTAGAAAATGTACTTAAAGAAGGTTTTTTTGTAGAAAAACTAGTGCTAAGTGGGCTACTAAAACGTTGTTACATGCCTTGATCAGTAATATGAACTAAGGTCAAATAAGCACAATTACAGCACCCTCATCTTAACCAATCCCCGCTCCTCAATTTGCTTTGATTGGAAATTTAATCGATAAATTCCAGACGAGACGTGGTCGTGTTACTACTCAGTGTTATTGCCATTTTCAGAAGAAATTCACAATCCTGGAGCTGATTGGCGCCGTCGTGGGCACATTTACGGCGACGATTCTCTTATTTTTGATTGGCTACGTCCTCCTCTATGTTCGACACGGTCGACAGTGTCCGAAGAGTCCAAAAGGCATTTACCCACTGGTCTCCAATTCGGGTCTGACAAAATTTCCCGACTACCAGGTGCTGGACTCGAGTCCGCAGCCAACAGCTCAGAGCCCCCTAGAGGCGATCAGTAATCGATCCTGTGATCCCACCGACAGCAAGCGGCGACTAGCTCAGATGGGTGAGTGGACGGAGACTGGCCGGTCTAGACGGCCGGAAGGGAGAAACAGCAGTGGTGTTTACTCAGAATGTCCAATCTACGACCTTCCAAGTAGTCATTTGACCTCGTCGCCACTTCCACCACTTCCACCAGACCCCCCACCGCCTTCTCCGCCTTCGGTGAACCACTTCGCGACCGTTGGGGGAATTCCCATCGTCTATCCTCAACAGCATTTCATTGATGCCGTCAATAACAACAACCTGCTAGCTCAAAGCCTTACCACGAACGCCATTCTGGTGGATATGTTGACCCTACAACGACGACAGCACCAATTACAACAGCAAGCCAACGGACCGCACACAGAATTTCGATTGTAACATCCCCGCAGCCTGTAGCCCCTTGTACATACTTCATACACAGTGCCTCAGCAGTGGCTTGTGCGCGCACAGTGTGTGCCAACTAACTAATGCCTCGGCTGTCGAAGCCTTTTCTTTGTTTTCCGGAATCCCCTGAATCATTTATCTCATACAAACTCCAAATACACCGATGTATCATGTGTACAAATGTCGCCAGCACAGTCTAGTTTAATTGGTGCAAATAATGTGTTAGAATGAGGCCTACATGATTCGGCAGTTACTGACCAATCAAATGAGACTGATGGTCTTCTGTCAGGACGCCATTGGTTAAGGAATTGTACTTTGTGTAAATTGTCTGCCGGTTGCAGACAGGACCGTTTACTCAAACTGAGCTCTGAGTAAACCCATAAGCACTTAGAAACTAGTGACATATTTGACCAATTAGTTAGATGGTCGATTTAAGAAACAATTGTTGTTATGGCAGTGTCTTAGTGTCTTTTTTTAATGAAATGGACAATGATTGGTTTATTTACCACAATGAATCAATAGCAATAAATAATTATTAAAGACCACAGGAGTCCGGGATGTGAGTAAAACCATCAGCATCACTTCGTTCCTCACGAAACAGTTTGTCCCTTGAGAATTTCTCATTTCATTGCATTGTTCAAGATAGCGAATTCACCTTATCGGTTAAAAAATAGTTAAAAGTCAGTGCCTAAAACTTCTACAGGTTCAACTTGTTATGTCATAAACATGTTAAAAGGCACTTGCTCTGGTTATAAGCTACAAATAAGCACACCAATAGCGGTTTCGTTTGCGGATTGATTTAGTTGACCTTTCGTTTTGACAACAATTTAGTCGATGGCAGAACAAAGACTAGTTTTGCAAAAATGTCGGGAATCCCTTACCGAAACAAGACAGATTAAGGTCGGGGGTTCGGTGATGAGTAATTCGTGCAGTGTACAAAATAGTTCTTTTGCATTGTGTCTTTGTTTCATGGGATTTCTTTTTAAACTGTGATGTTAGCTGTGAAAATTCAATGCCAAACTTATTTTAATCAACTGCACGATTTAACCCTTCGACGTGGATGAATCGAAGAGTGGGTTAACGATCCTAATATGGTGGTAATTTACACGATTTTCTAAAAATCTGGTGATATCCACTCTGTACCAGCGCACTGCATGTAACAATATAAGCCGCATCTGGGCGCAGATGTAACAACATTCTATAACGTCCCCTGGATTCGTTTCTTTATTTCGGCAAATCACTCACGTGGTTACACTTAGAAACGGACACTTCACCGTCGTTGAAACATGTTCGACAGATTCTCCCGTCAAGTCACCTGAATGGATATTTTTTGTGGTGTTTTGTAAAACATTAAATTTCCAATAAATAAAATGCTCATAACTTGTAACATTTTGGTTAATTACACTCGATAACAAACTTGGAACTTATTGTTTTGTAATCAAATGCAATTAGGGAAAAAGTAGCATAATTTCTTCTCAAAGATTGGATTAAAATTTGAGATTTTTGCTTACAAACCTGCAAAACGAAACTTGCAAACTTCTGCATTTAAAAACGGCATTTATTAACACCAGGCGGCACCCTTTAAACAAGGTTCTTGTTGTCTTATGTCTGAAAAATCTATTACAAAATATTTCTGGTCAAATTTATGCACATCAATTAAACATTTTTGCACTAAAATGTTATTTAATGAAATCGTCATCAAAAATAATGTCATATTTTTTTTCAAAAAATAATCAAGTAATAAAATATTTATTTTTGTGAGTTTAGAGCATAAAATTGTATAAAAATTTACCACCAGAATTGTTTTATTGTAACTTCAAGAAAATATTGCCTCAACATTTGGTTTTGGTGTTCTGTCGACAAAAATTTACGCAAGGTGCATTCAGACTTGTGGGTCCAAATTGCAACATGATACCTCACCTTTTTCGCATTTGTGCACCAACAAAAAGCTACAAATTTGACAAAAATAACATGACCATTTCGATGTGAACCTCGCTTTGATTTATTGCTCAAGATCTCTTACTAATCATTCTTTTTCGTAAGTAAATTTCATGGCTATTGAGTGGTATTTTGTATAATTTTTTTGATCAAAAATAAGATACACTAACTTGCCACGACATTTTTAGACAAATCCTCTTGATTTGCTTTGCTCTCTGCACACAAAACATTTTGCAAGAGCATCTCACATTACAAATTCATAAAAAATTACAAATTCGGTTCCAGAGATGTGTAGTATTTTGAAACAGGATGGAACAGGATTTATCTTTACGCTATGTTGTGGGCCCCAGCATGTGGTCTTGAACCACGACGAGGTAACTGAAGTAACTCTGGCCCGATTACGCTTCCCTGATACCCGCGATGAAGAAAAAGACCAGAGAGGACATGGACGCAACCGTTTACTTCAGAGCTCAACCACGTTGGTGTCGTTGTGTCGTGTGTGGGGTTTGCGTGTGTGTATTTATACCTTGGATGTGTGAGTCATACATGCGCTAACATCTAGACCTAGGTGTGAGGATAATCCAAGGTAAATATTCGTGTGAATGAGGGAGGAGTTGAGGATCCGCGACATGCTGCGAAAAGGGAAACCCTGTGTATAACTACGATTCACAACACTTTATTCTACACCGCATCAACATAACAATTACCTCAAACGCTTCGGATATTCTGATATTTCAAACTAGAAAAGTGTAGGATAATTTATTGTTTTACTAGTAAAATTTGAATTGACTGCATCCAAACAACGCACACACACACAGAGAGAAAGTTTTTCGTAAATTTAAGACTTAGTCACCTAGTAACGAATGCACCTCATTTAAAATGTGTTGTGTTTCGGCAAAAACACCTAATAAACGGATTTGCGAAGCAAACGCGCTAGCCCGACCTGATTTGCAAGATAAACACACGCACAAACACGAACAGCTGCCGACATTTTGATAACAATCTCTTTGATTGTGAAGCAGAGCGCTTGCTGTTTTATTAACAAAACATGATTAAACTGAATTAACGCCTAAAGGCGTGGTTGTCATGGTTTTACCAGGCCGAACGAACACATCAAACCGCAGATTTAAAGGTTGTTTTAAAAGCCAAAATGTTTTTTTATGCCTTGTGAAAGTTGGCTACTTTAGGAAAATTACACATGAGTTGTATTTCCGCGATGAGTCAGTGTATGCACGCATGTAATGTATGGCTAGTAGTTCAAATAGCCAAAAATCGATAAACGTTGTCCAACTGTAAACAAGATTCAAATGTCCGCGCTTGAGATCAGCTCGTTAATTGGCTAAAAGGGAATTTTAAAAACCCTGTAAAGAACATCGTGCCAATTTTTTTGTATTGACAAACATGAGTGGTTTATTCAACACCTTTGTACACTTTCCGTCATTGAAATTTAAAATTTCTGGTCAGACAAGGATGACTGGATGGAAGGGGGAATGAAAAACATTCAGATGTCACACTTGAAAATTTAACTTCTTGATGATATTCACATTTGGGGGGTTAATAGGTAACCGTCAGTTAAGAATTTTAAGCAAATTGACGCTCCCTTACCTTTAGCATTGTAAATTATGCTTGCAAAAAGCCATTTTATAACTCGTCATAAGTGTGTGGATGAAGTTAATTCATAACATTTCAAGAGTCAGCTGTTTTGTTGCGAATTTCTTCATGTTTTTTTATAAAAAAAACCAGGTAGCAATCAGCATAAAAATCTACGAGGAAAAGTCTTAAATACACCCTCTCAAAAGAGTCCAAAACGCAGCCGATTAAAACGAGCAAACTGTACACTCCTACCCACTTAAAATTGGTAAATTTTACCAGGATAGCTATGTAGTATCATAAACAGGGGACCCGGTTTTGTCTGTAAGACAAAATCAATGTTTACCGAAACTGATTTAAACAAACCACTCGTGCTTGTTTTAATTCACATTCAAACATTTTTTGGTCTGGGTGGGCATTGATTTTCCAAAAAAACGTTTTTGGATAGATGTAAATTTGCATATCCCTTTGGATCTACAATTTAACGCACTAAAAATGACATATAAGTGTTAAGACTTTCGTAAAACTGTCAAATTTGGTTAATATTATGTGTTGTTTTAATGGTTGTTTACGCTGAGTGTCACTTACAATTCGCTTAGGAGACGAGCAATGCTCATGAAGAGCTTTGTTTGAAGTTGCCTTCCGTTGAATAATTTTGCTCCACACCTATCAAATTTGCTGTTTCGATCGTTCTTCATTGAACATTTAGAATCGTCCTTTATTTAGTGCTAGTTCAAGGAACTAATGAAAATTCATGTATAGTTGACTGTGTTCTCTATTAAAGAACTAAGAATGTCGTTTTTGTTGATTCGGAATCAAATTAACTTTTTGCATTGGCATCATTTCCAGAGCTACTTTTAAAGTCAATTTAAAACACCTCTTTTCTCACGAACGATCCCCGTCTCGGTTGCTAGTTTGGTTTGATTGATTGATTGATGAAAGAGCTAGGGAGACAGTTTAGCTGTCGTTTTTTTCTTCATTCGTAAAGTGATGAGTTCTGAGACAAACGCGAGGGGAGATTTTTCGCATTTTAAAACCTCCTCTTCTAGACTGTAATTCTAATCAGCAGAAAAAAGGCTTGGCGCCTCAAACAAGAGTGGCTTCGTGAAAACGATGGTAATAAGTTTATTGGCTGTTCTTTGTTCGCTATGTCGGTGAGTGTCTAAACCCACTCAAATGCGGTGTCGAGATGCGGTCACGTTACACTAAAATGAGTAGTATGAGAAAAAGGGGTGTCCTAGTGACGGTCAATCTCTTTTGTAAAAAAACTTCAGCGACTTCCACCGCACTACCACCCAGGAAAACACAGAGACGAGTCGATTCCTCACCAAACTAAGACAGGACAAAACATTGCCTTGATCGGAGAGATTTTACGGTCTCAGCCGTAAACCGAATGCACATTTCGACACACCTTAAGTGCATGTGAGAATAGTAGCACACGGTAAGGGAAATTGGCCAATAGAATG